TGTTATTCTCACAGTATAAATGTAGTTTAGGAAAAAAAGTTGTTCCTGTAATAGTTCTTTTTCTTTTAATCCAAATTATTACTGTGTCATATTTAGAAAAAACACTCGACCAACTTTAATGTTATGCGAGGATATGCTTCCCTTGGATATACACATCTTCAGGAGCTTGTCTTCAAAGAGCTTGGAAGTAGAATTCAAGAGTGTTTTCTGAACATACTTTAATTTTGATTTTTCACGTGAATATGTACAGTAGAAGTATAAAATTGTGGACGTTGCCTAGATACCTCTACAGCATTCATGTACTGTGGAACATATTAACTTGTCTTTTATCATAATTTTAGGCAGTGGAAATGGAAAGGCAGCATTTGCTGGAAATGTTGCAGCTGTTGAACTGCTAAGGGAAGTTCTGTGGAACAGAGACCCTGAGCCAACAATTTAATCTGTAAAATGCTATGTTTCTGGTCTTGCCTTTGAAGTAGTAAGCTCAGGATAAACGCATTCTTTGGGGATGCTTTGTTATCTTTTTCCTGTAAATGATGGATGATTCTGAGGTCACTGAAAACTTTGCACGGTCAAATCACAGATGAATTAACAAGCCAGAACTGAAAACTGAAAGTTAACTGTAGTTGAATGACAGAGATGCTGTATTACTTTACTTTTAGTCTTCTCTTCATTATTAACAAGGGATCGCAAGGCACATTCTATTTTAGCGTGCAGATAAGGTTATGTTGACTTTGTAACATGAAAAGATAGACAGTTATTTGGGGGGGGAAGGAGGGGAAAACCACCAAAAAGCTGCCCTCATGGAAAAGGATAATACCAGTTATGGCTTCCTCCAAAGACTGCAGTTACATAATGCCAATCAGGTAAATAGTGCAGTAATATAACCTTAATTTGAAAATGGAATTTGACAATACAGGGGAAACCAAGTGGAATGTGTATCAGACACTGAGAAACTGAATCAGTTTAGGCCAATTCAATGTTGTCAGACCTCAGCAGATGTGCAAGATGATTTGTTTTGTTATTTCTAACAGCCTTTGGTAAGACTGTCATCCATTATCCTATCCAATTGTGTGTTTTAATAACAGTGTCTGTTCTACTATCTTTAAGAACACACTGAAGATATTTTTTTCTGTTTCATAGGTGTGGATTCGTAACAGCACTTGCTTACATCATTAAATCTACATCTGATGCAACCAGGATGTAGCCCATTTACAAATATTAAGACAGCAGATTCATGGGAGACCAAAGATAAATACAGCTAATGTCCTGCCTCCGACACTGCCTGGCGGTGTCTGCTGTAATAGTAAAAGCAAGGATTAGGGCAAGAAGCTAGTCATGTTTCCCCAGAATATTTCCCCAGCCTGCAGCTGTGTGAAACCTCTGAGCCAGATGTTTTATCTTTGTATTTTTCTTATGAAAATCTTTCATTTACTTGTTTTAAGTAGGTAAACTCAGTTTCAACAACAGCGCAGTATAATCACAAATTGGGTTAAGTGCTTCCTTTTGTTTTAAATGTGCTGCTCACTATTTTCATTTGATGGGCAGTCTTTCTCCACCAACTCCAAGCCACTCAACCTGTTAAAGGCCACATCTGTATACTCAGTCATGCCTTCCAAGCTGAAAAGTTCTGATCTGTTTTGTTGTTTGTGTAATCTATATACTTGACCATCCTTCCCCATCCCTGCCCCCCACCCTCCCCCGTTTATTGTGTTCATGTCAAATATGAATACAATTTTCTAGGATACAGCAGACTTACAGATCACGTTTTGGGTAGTCATTCTGCATTTATTCAGTGGCCACTTGTCTGGGATTTCAAAACCTCCAGAATTTGTCTAAAACTACTCCTCTTTTCTGCCTAGGAATATTTTTTAATAGAGCCCACTTGGTTTGCTGTAGGCCTGGAAATTCTGGACCGGTTCAAAATGTTCGGATTCTGCCTGGACATGTTGCCAGGACACATGGAATAAGATGCTCCATCCAGTATTGATGTGGTAGTTGTGTTAGTATGTATGGCCACTGCCTACACTGTATCTGTTCTCTTGTGCTGTTTGTTGTATTAGTTCCCCCATCTGAACCTGCTTCTGCTGACCAAAGGTTCTTTGCCAATACTTCTGAAAAATAGCACACTGAAACCAATGCTTTCCATTTCCCAAAATATTCAGTAGGCTTCACCAACCAAAATTCGACTTAGGGCCTGGTGGTATCCTGGCATGCTGCTGGTGCTTGTCCAGAAGCTTTTTCGCACACCTCAGTGAGCCACTTGCCACTCCAGAGTGGTTGACCACCAGCTGATGAGAGTACCGGATGGAATAACAGAGCTACACACACACGTGGAGTGAGTACATGGAATGTGTTGATGCTGAAGGTGGGGTGTTAACTCCAGGCAGATCTTCAAAAACTCTATTTTTCTGAAAACATGGAAACTTCTGCTGGTTGTCCAAGCTGCAGTTATGTTTCCAGATGGAGCTTTTGAAGATTTCTTCATGGAGTTAGTAACTGATCTTCAGCGTCAACACATGGTCCCACCTGTTGGCGCTACTTCCTCCAGCTTAAAACCTCTCCTTAACGCAGGAAGGAAGATGAGTCTCAGTTGCAACGGAAGCTGGACTCCATTTATGTCACATGGTCCTGCGGGTCCTAGTCCCTCATTGCCACCCTGCATCAGTAGTGACACCAGCTCTTGCTGGGCGCCTGTGTCAGCAAGCGTGCGCTGGTCTCCTCTGATGCCTTTCTGAAGAACAACCCCAGCCCGCCGCAGGGGTCTGTAGGGCAGGCGGAGAAGCTGCGAAGGAGGAGGTTGGAGGCAGCAGGGTCTCAGTAGAAAGGCAAGGATTGTCAAGGAACAACGTACAGAGTGTTCCTTTTACACAGCAGATCCCTAAACAGTGACGGTATCTGTGTAAGGCGAATGGCTCCCCCGTGTCGTGCATGTGTGCTAGGGAGCGCTGCGCTGTGTGGGCATTGTGTGGTAACTAACCACCGTTTCCATAGGGGATGGAGGTGGTTCCCGCAACGCATCCTTCTGGATTCCAGTAATCCTCAATGAAATCCTGAGCGAATCAGCAGTACCCAGGTTGGTTTGTGTCAGAACACAGGGCAGCACGGATCCACACGGAGGTGGCTTAAAAGGTGAGAAAAAGCCCTGCTCGGGACTTGAGGTGAGGGCAGAACTCTGGAGGTTGGGAGTAAACTCGGCTGAGCACTGATGGAGACCAGAGCTTCTTGCAAGGAAGAAGTTGAGTCTTAATGTACCATTGTAGGGAGTATGTCATTGGTGATGTTTTAAGAGATATGGATGCTTTTCTGTTTGTGCTACAGGCTGAATAATGATGAAGCTGGAGCATAAATAGTTTTAGGATATCTTGTGAGAGAAGTGAAAGGTCTTAAAATGTCTGCATTTTAGTTCCGTATGTTGGGAAGTGAAGATGTGGGGAAGATGAATGAGCGAAACGTAAAAGCTGAGTTTTCATGTGTCACACCAGGGTTTACAATTTCATCTAGTTCTTGTATTTCTCTATGTTAGAGAATGCTGTCTCCTTGTGTAAATTTAATTAATAGATCCACTTTTTACTTTGTAAATGGAGATTATTAAAAAAATCCTCCGTTCTAATATGTTGATTCATTTGGCATCCTAACTTAGTAGACTTAAAACCTGTAACAGTATCGCTTTGTTTGACAGTACATTGTACCAAGAGAAAGATGGGACACATACTTGAACTGTCTGGCCTTATCTGCACCACCAACAGTAGCGTAGGAAAGGTCAAGAATCTTGGATTCTGGTCTTGCCTTCTCTCTGTGGAAACTATGACAGTTTTTGTTAGAGATAAGACACCTGAAGCCTAATAATTCTGAAACATAGTGGGGTCAAATAGCTAATCCTAAAATGCTGGCATAGCAAGACAAGTACTGGCAAACTCTCTGAGCACACACCATTTATGCAAACAAAAGGTGAAGCACAACAGATTATACACATTCTGTACTGAAAAAGCAGTTTTTGCTAGTGGAATAACAGTGTTGGAATAAATGTGTCCACACTGTACATAACGTAATGCTCATGAATGTTAGTAACTGAAGTCTTCCTGAACATCAATTTAGAAGAAATATTGTGGTAGTAAGATACACATCCAAACCCCAACTGGTGGAAACCAACAGTAGGTCAGTTATATTAAAATCACAGATTAAAGCACACAAAGCCATAGAAATAAGATTTGAATATTGTGGTGAAGACAAAAAAAAAAAAGGTAGCACGTGTATTTAATATATGTATATTTTAACGTGTCATTGAATTAAATCATAGTTTTTAATCATAGTTTTTAATCACTGATTAAAAATCAGTGATTTTTTTTTTCCCCTGACTGGCCAAAAGGCACTTTTCTGGCTAGAAGAGGGAAGTGTGATAATAATAGAATGACAAGACCCCAGAAAATGTCACGACTGTCATTCAGAAGTTGTCTTGATGGGGATTTATGCTGGAATCTCTCTTGAAACAGATTAGGTTGATTTGTCACACAGCATTTATATCAGAATAAACATGCCACGTGGAACTAAGAAGCAATAGTCGCTGCATTTTAAATAATTACTTACTTAAATTCACAGATGTATTTCAAAACATTTGGGTTATTCTGGGACTGCACATGATGTTGTTTTTCCCTGTAATCAATCCCATTTCCATTCTATCAGGACTGCATTGTAGAAAAATAGTGAGCACCTAAGTACAGAGCTCCTGATGTTCTTAATCCACGTTACTTAAACCAACTCAGTTTAAAATATCATAAATGTTTTAAAGTTTCAAAACACAAAAGGATTTCCTCTTCATTTCCAGTTGCACTGACTCATTCTTCTTGGTAAGATAGTTATAAATAGGGGTTTTTTTCTGAGCTTTGATGTGTTTCTTTGTTCAGTCAGATGTTTATCCACACATTTTTGACAGTTCCTTTCGTTCCTCTTGATTATTTTGATTTTATTTCGTGTTTGTCAAGGCAGACCACTGTTCGTTATTAGGCTGAACTGATTTCTTCTTCATCTTCCTCAGAGTCAGCATCATCATTGTAAAAGTGAATTGTAGCTTGTACTGGAAAACTTGCCAGAACCTTCTCTCCGATGTTATTAAGAAACTTTTGGGATTTGGACTTGGGCAAATAAAGTCTAATAAGAAAACATATTTTGAGAGAAAATGTAAAACTATATGATGTTTTCCCAGCTAAGCTAGCTTGAGTATTAAAACATATTTTTATCTTTCTTTGGAGAGAGAAAAATCCTACGGTTCCTGGTCTTTTAAAATAAAAGTTGCTAACTAAATTTATCCAAGATCCCAGCCTGGTAAAATGTTGCCAGGTCAATGATGCATGCTTAAGATGGTTTGGTTGGTTTGGTTAGGTTTGGTTAGGTTTGGTTAGGTTTGGTTTAGTTTTTCAGCGCAGTTCAGAATGGAAGTATCCCATGCAATTGGGGGAAAGTTTGAGGAATGTTTTAGGATTCTGGAATTCAGATTAAGACACCAGATTAAGATTGGGGTAGGTTGCCTGTTGCAGAGAGCTGATTTTAGTGGGATTGATTTAGTCATTTTTGTGGGTAGATTTGGTGGAAGAGGAGGTGTACACTGAGAGAGATTTCTTTCAAAATTTCTACTGTTTTGTTTTGAAAAATGTACTGTCTTAATTTACATTTCTGGTTTTCACCTGCCTTCCCACTAAAGCAAAATTTCTGTTCAGTATACATATGTGTAATTTTTTGTGTGCATATGTACGCACATCTCTTCCTCTTGGTTCCACATTGGCCAGTTTTCAATTAAATTTGACAGAGGGATAATGATCCTTGTGGAGGAATAAAAATCCATGGAGTCTGGTGTGTAGTTAAACTGCATTACTAAATAGAGATACTCCAGAGACAGACTGATAATTCATCTGAGAAGGATTATGCCTTGTCTTGGAAGGTGTCACTTTTCCTGTAACAAGTGATAGGATTTAACTCACCTCACTGGATGTTGAAACCCCAGGGCTCCATTTGATCTAAAATTTATTAGTTGACCATCCAGTTCTGACTGTAGAGAGACATATTTATTATTTAGAATAGGCTAAAAATTCAGATTTTGCTTTTTTCTTCTACAGGTAACTGTAAAATTCTACACTAATGTGGCTTTGTTTGATGTGCTGCATTGTTGGTTTACTCTGACTAGGCATACTTCAGGGAATACAAGTGCCCACAGTCTGCCCATAGCTGCACATTTAACAAAGCTTTTGAATGTGGGTGTTTTATGAGCCGTCAAGCCGTGAAATATTGTACATTTTGCTCAAGTTCTTATGGAATATCTGTAGGGACTGATGTAGATTCCAATACTGCCAAATGGAAGTTCAGTGATTGGAATAAAAAAGGATTTTCAGTCAGGTTAAAGGATTGGAAGGTTAGGGTTTTATAAAATGCCTCTGTAACTACACTAACCAGTAGTTTGGAGTTGGAATGCTCAAGTCAGCAAGTTTAACTGTAATCAAAGATCACACAAGCATGTTAAGAGTCCAGACAGTAAAATCACGAGACAACTGGCATCTCATATTTCTATGCAAACAAGGATAAAAAAGCAAGCACTTCTGATACAACAGAGTAGGTAGCAAAAAAATATTTTACATATATATTTCAAATATCAAAATTCAATTTAGCACAGAATAAATTCCTTCAAATTAAGGTCACAATAAACCCCAATAATTTTCAAATGTTAACGTTACTAAATCCTGTTAGGATTATAAACCTGGAATGTGAACCAGAAAGCATCTCCCAAAATCACTGAGCACTATCACACGCATGGATTCTCTTCCATATCTTGAAACAAGGCTTTTTTCTATTTTTCTATTGCTATACACTTTTGATGTTGCATAACATAGGAAGATTTAGCTTTCCTACACTAGAGCTTCTAGTGCACAGAAGGCAGAAACCCTCTACTCTGCTACAAACAAAGGTGACTTTTGCCACTGTCAGAGCAATTCGTCTGTCTTCTGGGGAAATGGGCTTCAGCATGGCTGTTTTGGTGGGCCCCAGAAAGTCCTTGGGCTACGGACTGAGCAAGAGGTCCTATAGAATTCTCTCTGTACCTTTTATGTGGGCCTATTTCTCTCATACCTGCCTGCTTGTCTTGTAGCCAAAATGATTTGTCTTCAGGCTGCTCAGGTTTTGCTGAGGGTTTTTTTGTGTTTAATCAGGAAACTCATTCGTTTTGTTTCCACAGTACCTAGTGAAATGGACTCCTGATCTGTCTGAACATTGCAGATGCAATCATGATACCTATGTTAGATATCATATGTTATTTTTTTCCTTTCATATTTACATGAAAATTAAAATAGTATTCTTTATTGACCTGTATTTTCTAATGTCTTCTCTTTCGAATACATATTGTTTTTACGTAATCATATATGTGATAATACATATTGATTAAACACACATATGCTCTTTCTTTTCAGACTGTACTACAGCATTTCTGAAAAGCAGTTCTGATAAAAGCCAATTAACTGCAAAACCTAACTCAGTTTGTTTGCATACAGCAGAAGATGTTCAGTGTTAATTTGTATTATGTTGTAGATATGGCAGTAGTAACTTTAAATTACTTTTTATGGCTTTTCTTGGGGCATAAGTAACAGCGTATTTGAATTTAGGTAGTAGGAAAAGTGTTACTTTTTATATAAGGAGAAGTGTATTATGTATAGGTAACTCCAGGGAATATTGTAACACTTTATTGGCAATAGACTTAAAAATATTAGTTTAAATTTATTAGTTTGAATTGTTTTACCAGTACTTTTATTTTTCAGTGCCTTGTTATGCATCTTTCGATTTCTCAGGTAACATTCTTGTATGTATGTTCTGAAACATTTTTTAATTACATAAGGGATATTGAAACTTTTATTTGCTTCACTCTCCAGCATTCAGAATGTCTGCCGATCTATGAAGCACTGGCATTTGTGTGTATACACTGCAGAAAATAAAAGTAGTCAGCGTGCAACTACCTAGCAAAAACATCGTGCTCAACCCATCTGGGGAGGCCTTCTGCTAGAAACCTCAGTGACTTTGCTGAAGAAGACACCTCTTGCCTTCCACAGCTGTGGGATGTAGGTGTGCATTAGTGAGCACCTCTTCCCACCCATGCACCACACAAAGTGTCCAAGCATCTCTGCTCCGTTGCTGCTAAAAAGCATAAAGGGCTCCTAAAGCCCTCCCTCAGCCCTCCTTAGGTCCCACACTACAGCTGCTTCTAAGGTGCTGAAGCAGTGTGGATGGGTCATAAGGTATGGATGAGAAGGATCTGAAAAGCTTCTGGCAGAAAGGAGAAATGCCAGGCTGTTAACATGAATGTGGAAACTGTCATATATGGCTTGTTTCTCTCACACAAGTGAGCAGAATCCCGGGTGTGAATTACAACTTTTGAGCTGGTTGAATGAAATTTTCTACAAAACATAACCTCTGTAACAAATCACAACTTCATGACTTCAGAAACTTTAGCTTCTTGAAATCATCACTGTAAGCATGTGCTCTCAGGAGGGTAAGATGCCTCTCATCCTTATCAAATGTACAGGTGCCTCTGCAAAGCTTTGGAATGCTGCTGGGAAGGACGTTCTTCTACAGGCTTTCCTAAGGCACCTGCTGGGAAGAGTATGGCACTCCCTCAGATCTGTGCAGCTACAACCTCTATCTTCAGCAGACAAAAGGTACAAGGTAAAAAGGTGTTGCACATCTCAGAACATAGTAGAAGTGTTGAGTCTTTGAAGACTTGCACTGAGGAGAGTTGGTGTCTTTACCTGCTGAGCCTTTGGCAAAGTTGAAGATGTAACTGTGGATCAGATGCTGCAAAAACTTAGGCAGGTGCTTAAAACTGAGCACGGCAGTAACACCATTTCAATATGTTTTTTAAAGTTTGCAGCATTGGGACCTATGTTCAATGTGTTTCAAGCTCTCTCTATTTTTGTTCTTTTGAGCATAACAGATCTTCCTGCATGAGAAAGTAAAACTAATAATCACGGTGCCTTTCAGTGTCACTTGGCACAAAGAGCCACTTTAAAACCCGATTTGCCATTGATTTCCTACGTGGTTTAGCTATAGAATATTCCTCCCAAAAAACAATCAATGAAATCATGCACCTGAAAGTATGCTTTCCAGATTTCATCTTAAAGTTATTTTCACTCCAACTCCCGCCTGTATACAAAATATCATGTAGGTGCTGGGCCTGGAAGTTTCAAACTGAGGATATTTTTATAATTCAGCAAATAAAAGCTGCTGTTAAAACAAAGGTTGTTTTAGTAAGCAGTGCTTTCTGCAGCTCTTTAAGAACTGATAATGATTCTATATCTGATACAAAATTAGAGATACTCTTAACCATTATGATGTACAGAACATTGTAATTTGAACCACATTTTCTACCACTCGTGAAATGCTGGAAAGAACACATGAATAGATGACCAAGCATCACTTCAAATAGTTTCAATTTCTGCAGCTGTTTTCTATAAGGATTATTTTCTCCAGAATTTAGGCTCACCATTTGTTGATTCTCTGTCATCTCACCGTCTCTTGCTGTGAGCATCCAGGGCCTCCATAAAGCAGGACTGCTGAAAGATTGAGACAGAATAGTATTCCCACAATTAATTCTTTGTGGTAATATCCGTACAGAACAGCTCCTTTTGTAAGATTCTGCTGGCATCTTTTGTAATAACACGATTTTTTTTTTCTTTTCAACACATTTGGATCTGGTAAATCTGATTCCTATGGCAATATTAGTCTGTCTTCTGTCTACAATCCGATTAAACGAGACAATGGCTCGCACGTTTTTAACTGAGGTGTCATTTCCCTTTAAGACTTCACAGCTCAAAGTGACTGCATTGAACTCCAACTGATGATGTAATTAATACTGAAATCTTATTTATGCACCACTGCTAGAAGATAAACAGTAGCCCTCCCTCTCTGACAGCATGTCTAAGCACAGATTCCGTGTCGTCAGTGGTTATTTACTGAGTGAGCAACTCCGGCATTAAACTGACATGGGCAATCGAGTCTGATTAGCTCAAGAGAGCATCTGCAGTGGTGGATGCTATGTCTGCCTTTTGTTTGGGGGGGGGGACACACTCTACGGTTGTGGATGCTCTTTTTAACAGCGCTTTCCACCTCTGCTTCTGTGTAACAGATCCATAAACTTGGGTAAATGGAAAAGTGCTTTCAAATATGAAAGGTAAATAAACTTAAAAAAATAATAAATCAGTTATCGTAGCCTTAGGCTTCATTTACTTCCATTTATATGTAAATTCTGAAACACTTGACTGAAAAGGATAAAATATTGGCAAAATAAATAAAATACCTGTTCCAGCTGAAACATTTTCAGAGACAGATTTTGCCCTTTCCTTCTAAAGCCAGAAACCGTTTTCCTTTGTCTGTTCAATGCCAACATCGTTACATGCAGATGATACTCACAGTTGGAGTTTTCAAAAGGGAGGCTGCTGAAAAAAGGCTCCCTGTCCCTGCCCTACCTCTCTGGGTGCTCCCTGGGCTGGGGTGGCCACCGCTGGGTGCCTGGTGAGGGGTGGCAGATGGGACCCGCTGCAGCCTGGAGCGAGAGACCTGCAGCTGCACCCTCCATAGCGTTTGATGGTCTGTGGCGGGCTGGACAGACCCGCCTGGGCCTTTCAGCCCCTCCTTTATCTTAACTCCTGAAGAATACTTACCTAAAACAAACACAGCCTCAGGTAAAAGAAGAGAAACCTCCTTAATGAGTTTTCTTTTGACTCCCTCCAGGAGTTCAAAGATAGGGCGCTCAGGTTGGCCGGTTGTCCTGGGGAGAGAGCCCTGCCAGGGAAACAGAGGCTTTTTGTTAAGTCTGGTTAGCAAATCGCATGGAAAATAACCGGTGCCCTTTATCCTCCTACCACTGTTTTACAAAATCTGTATTTGCCCTGTATGAAATATACAGTGTAAATACTCTTTTCGCAAGTCTTAGGAAAACTCATCAACACCCTGTCCTAAAAAGGTGGAACAGAGACTCCAACAGAATTTTAAATGTAAATTTTTTTTTTTTTTTTTTTACTGACTGGAGTCTTTTCCATGACCTAACTTTAAGGAGAAGGACGTACCAAAAACCAGTGACAGTGAGAGGATGTAAAGACAGGCCTAGTGACTTTAAGAGTTGGACTTAATGATCTTAAAGGCCTTTGCCAACCTAAAAGATTCTGTGATTCTATGACTTCCTCAAGACTATAGGAAAGTTCCGTTAATTTGACTGCTATTTGAGGGATAGGGAAGAAAGCTTATGCCAAGAAAGAAGACTTTGTCTATCAAAGAATAAGGGTTATGAATGCCATCGCTTTGAGGTGTCTTTTATTTCAAAGTATACTATGTGTGCTTTAAGCCTACAAAGACTGAATAGAAACAGACTTCTTCCAAGGTTTCTTCCCACTGTTGTCATTCGTGACACGCGTTACTCATAGCCCGTTACTTTGAACAAGAACAATTTATTACCTGGTGGGTGACATTATCTGATTTTCATCGTTGTGGTTCGTTGCTACAGTTCACTGTTTCCTTTATTTCCCAAATACTACAGAGATGCAAGAGGATTATAAAGACCTACAGGTAAATTCTCTTTCCACCAGTGCTGTTTACACATTGACATCAAAGGGGACAGATTCAGGTCCCAAAGGTAATTGGTTTCTACTGTGAACTTTCTTCCAAGAGAGAGAAAAATTATTCCATTTACCAAACATAGAATGTCCATTGATTATCTAGCATGAATTAGGTCTCTCTCTTTGATGTAGCTGAAGAGAACAGCAAAACAGTCGGTTTGAGAGGACACAGAAAATTCTCTGTCGGAGCCAGATCCTCCTGAGGTACGCCTTCTGGCTCTTTTTCAGGTTATGATCCAGCTGGAGGCACCACGTGTCCAGCTAGCAAGAAGGGGCTGGACTCACATGTAAAGACCACTGGATACATTCCCTTGGAGGGATCATTTTCCCTTGAAATTGTTCTGTATTAAAAAAACATTGTGTGTATATATATATATATATACACACACACCTTTGTACATGTGGTTTTCTTGTACCTTCTACTGATTTTGCTTAAAATTCAGTGTCATTCTTCCAACAGGGAGGATCTTAGGTCAGATTTGAAAGTCAGACTGATTTTCCTACATTGATGCAAGTTGTAGGGTTGTGTTTAGCTACTTGGCACTCCTAAGACTGCTGAAAGTAATAGTGTAATACAGGTCCTGATGTTTTTGAGGTAGCCTTCAGTAACAGAATCTGGGATTCAGTTTGTTGAGGTCCAACTATTACATAAACTTTTCCTTCTTGTGGTGACAAACAGATAAGTTTTAAACTCAAAGGCCAAAGCCATTAAATGCTGTTCTGGGAAGCAATGGGATATGTAATAGAGGACTTACGGTCTAAACCTACTCCCTCCCATGTTTAAATACTACGTGATATTTGTAAAGTTGTAACTAAGTAAGTAATACCGTATCTCAAAGAAGAAAATACATACACGGTCTCAATCACTTAAAAAATGTATGTATCAAAATCAGTACAATTATTAGAATGAAGAATATGGTGAATAATATTCAGATAAAATAAATGTTAAATAGCAGAATGGGTCCTGAGAAAAAAATGGCAAACTTCTTAAGTAACCTAACTTGTAATAAAATACCTCACTGACTTACAGTCTTAAATACACATACATAATTTCATCAGCTTAGTTTTATTTAGATCTAATTTAACTTGATAGTTGAAAGGGAAGTGTGCATTACACAAATGATGTCTACGGTCCTGATCTTGAAATCAGATCCGTGTGTGAGGATAATTGATTTATACATCTGGATAGAATCTGCCTACATGGATATTAGTACAGGACTAAAGCCTAAACGACTAACATACAGCTCTCCATAAGGTGCAGTTACCCTCAATTAAATCTGTTGATAAAGCCCTGCAAGACCAAGCTTATTACAGAAGTATCGAAAATATAATTTTGTTAATGAAGCCATGGAGTAATCTTATATAATTACATGTAACACTGAAGAAAATATGTAAGCTAATATTTTAAGGTATGTATTTTAACTAATTATTTGAATTTATTTTAACTAATTAATTGAAGCATATGTCTTTAAATGGCATTTTTGTAGAAACTGTTAGCTAAATTCAGGTTGCAGATCTGTGGAAAATGGTTTATTCCAGTAAAATGTGAGCAGCTGCGATAGTGTTTGATCTCTAGTTTATGAAAAGAAGAAAAAACGGCAGTGGTTAGTCCAGTCGTAGTTGTCTAGTTTTAAGAACTATATTAGTCTCTATAATATATTTAATTTTAATAAGAGGTGGTGCATTTAGTGAAGAACACTTCACAGAATCAGAAAACTGATTCTATTACAGATGCTTTTCTATTTTCCCAGAAGTCAGGAGTACTTTTCACACTTCAATGCTACCTGAAAATAGCTTTGACAGACTTAATGCTGACTTTATAGGAATTAAGTATTGTGAATCAAGAGAGATGACCCATAAGATAATTATTTTTTGTTCATTGGAAGGGTTTTTTTTGTCTTTGTGGGAAACCTGGTTTACTTGTTTCTATTATGAAAGCATTTCTGCATTTGCAAGAATGTTTAATATAAAGTGGTATAGTCCAGGAAACAGGATAACTTCAAAGCATTTACAGTTTTGAATAAGATCAGGTATTAAACAACATGACATAAGCATTTGTAGCCACTAATAACATGCAAAGCTCCTCAAAGAGAAATTGTTGGAAAAGCTTTTAGGGGACAGAGGGAGAAGGAAACAGCATCATTCACAACACACGGCATAGCCAGTCCCATAATACTCCTGTAAAGTCAAAAAAAGAGACGTTTATCTGTGCTGAGGTTACATGGTAGAGTTGGCTCCCCCTCCTGAGCTGCTTCCTTTGGAAGCATTCCCACATGGACTGATGGAGAGCTAAGGGACGTTTATCACCCCTAGGACTGAAGCTGACCTTCCTGTCCCACTGAGGGAACTCTCTGAGCTCGTGGGCAGAAATTCATAATTTAGCCTATTCACTTTTTTCAGGGTTTTAAAATTCTCTTTAAACAATTTCATGTCTGCGTGTGTGTGTGCATTCAGCAACCTGCAACATCTTTCTGTAATCTTTTCTCCGTGACAAAACCCACAAATGTTCTGGGAAGTCTGAGGGCTAATATTACTCACTGTTTCTTTCCAAGGCTTCCTTCCACCCTCCTCTAAGGATGGACTGATCAACACAGTTATTTTAGAATATCTATTTTAGTAAATTTCCTGGTGCATACAAGACCTTGGCTTCACAAGAATAACAAAAGGATGTTTCCCAATCTAAAATTCTTAACCTCTTAATTGGAGCTTGTCATGGTTAAGTCTAAACTACTCTATAAAAGAAACTAGAAAAAACGACACCAACTCTATGGCTTCAAATTATTCTAATTGATAGTGTGCCAACATATGTAGAAACTTATCTTAAAATGGTGACTGGTTTTGCCTGTATACTGTTCTGCTTTAGATTCCCTGGCATCATTAAGTTTTGATTCCATTTTCTCATTTATTCATAAACTTTTCCAGGTTAAGGGAACCTTAAAAAAAAAAAAAAAAGGATCAAAATGTCATTGCCTGCATTTGATGCCACAGCGGGATTAAGCAAAGCATGTTCCTCATTGTGCAAAGGTTATATAAACAGTTGTGTGTTGCGGTTTGCCCTGAAGGTCAGCAATGCATGTGCTGTTGAATAGAGAAAGTGAATTCCAAGGTTGAGAGCTTTCTTTTGAGGTTGTATACTTTGCTTGTTTTCTTTCTTTTGATGTACCTGGGTAAGTATTTTGACTTCCTGCATAAGATGAAGTCACACAAAGGAACAGTGTATGATGCCAAGATAGGACCGCCCGAGACTTTGTTCCTCTCTCACAAGGCTAGTATTTCTGAAGCTTGAGATGGAGAAGGAGAATCATTTTAATTATTTGACCCTCCAACAGAAACTCTCACCTGTTTCTGCCATGAGTTGTGGAAATTGCAATTATGTCAGCAATTCCTACCATTTTGGCTAAGCTTTTGCCGTGGGCGCAGACTTAAAGAAGTAAAAATGTCTGTCATAGTACTGGTTATGTTTTTTTATATTGATGCCTGCTTCAAAATGTGCTGGACCAATTTGTTCCTTGCTTATCTACAATGTCAGTGTGTTGTTGCTGGAGATGCATTTAGGAAATTGTTCCTTTAGAATACCTGTTTTAGTACATTTCCAAGCACATAAAGGCCTTGAGTTCAGAACAATAAAAAAAGAATGTGGCTTCACGCCCTGTTCAGGAAACGATTGTTACATATCAGTCAGCTACAACTGTTTAATGTTGTTGTTGGCTTCTTTCTTCAAACCTTCTTGCACTTCTCTTGCATTTTTTTCTTTTTTTTTTTTCAGTCACCCACCAACTACCTGCAAGGAGTCATAGAATCACAGAATCATTTTGGTTGGAAGGGACCTTAAAGACCATCTAGTTCCAACCCCCCTGCCATGGGCAGGGACACCTTCCACCAGACCCGGTTGCTCAAAGCCTCATCCAGTCTGGCCTTGAAGACAGCCAGGGATGGGGCATCCACAGCTTCACTTATTGCAGCC